AATTTTCCGTTTCATATTTAACTCCCACCTTGTTTTCAAAGGCGCTACCTTAAAATTCATGGAATAACTATCATCTGTCCTCCTCGTTTCCTTCCTGTTATTGAACATCTGCCATCTTACCAACATTTTTCCTTTGAGGGGAAGTGCAGTGAGAAAATTCCTTGCGTTTTACGCTATACTTATTTGCAGTGCTTTAAATGGTGGTGGAAAAGCTCAGAGTAACACTGAGAAATAAGCATGTTTATGTCACACATGCTTTACCTTTTCATTGGCTAGCTGGTCTCCGTAGGAGCGTTTGTCATCTTCCAGATCCTGGGTCAGTTTGTCAGTGCGGTGTTTGAACTGCTGCTTCAGATCTCGCCGGTCTTGTATAGTTTTAGTCAGCTCCTTTGTCTCCTCCATCAGCTGGTCATACTTTTTCTGTGGACACAGAGGGAGAGCTGAGTCCAGGCTGTCGTTATTATTGATGTCTAATCAGCACGACATGTAACATCTCTTTAAACACGAACGTTTGTGGTTGTATTTTGTGCAGAACAACAGAACAACTCTTCTCAGAGTTTAATAAATGTTAAAACAGTTATTTTAATAACACATAATCTCTTCTGCTCCTAATAAATACAGCATGCTTATGCTGTGTTTATGTATTTCAGCCTTTATTTAACCAAAACTGAATCTGTGTGTGAGCATTCAGCTAAGATAGACAGCAGCTCACTCTGCAGTGTTTACAGAACAACACACACACACCTTTAGTGGAAGTGTTTCTGATTTTAAAGCTGAACCTGTGGTCAAAGGCAGGACCTGGACAGAGACATGCAGTGGACCTCACACACCTGCACACTCACTTTTCTTTTCACCCGAGCGCCTGCTGGTTATTGTAAACATTTCTCCTGTTTTGTGTTAAAACACCAGAAACACAATTCCTGCTCATCTCATCGGGGACATTACTACACTGTAGTGCAACATACGTTAAAGTCTCCTTTACATTATGTCGACATTATTATACTCTTCCATTTTTGACCCATTAAGCCGTGAAGGTTTAATTAAATTGTATGACTTCGTGATAAAAGCGTGTTCCCTCCTCAGCGTGGATGAACGAGAACTTGGATTCAGAATGCTAACTTGCAGTTTTTTGAGAAGTTTGATATACGTTTGTGATCATATTATGCAAA